ATATTATTATATTAATGCGTGCGCACACACACACAAGAGATGGACCTAAAGACACCTTCCCCTCCCAGACATGGTCCAATCTGCAGACACTATTAATGGAGATGAATGACAACGTAAGGCGAGTGTTTGTCTCCTCTGGTAGCCTCGCTGACCACTTCCCCTGGCTACTGCGCTGCCGGTAGGACATACCTGTTGTCAGCTCTAAGTGCTGCGGAGTCACAAGTGTAAATAGAGCTGGCGACAGGACGGCGATGCCTGAGGACGCGCGGCCTGGCCACTGCTGCTCTGACAGGCGCTGCGATCACTATCTCGCATCCTTCCAAAGATAGCAACTCGGCTCATCGCTGCGCGAGGCGTGGAGCTTCCCAAAACAAAGTCTCCAATGGCAACCACTCAAGGATTTCACAAAAGAGCCAGGGCCCGAATTTAGAAGAAAAAGTGTGTTGAGAAGCCGGAGAAGCTGGAGTAAAGGCTGGTGGTGGCACTCAAGTAACGTTCCGTCAGCCTATGGCATCAAATGGAAATGAAAAAGTTGTGCAGGGCTGCAATCACAATTCTGCCAAATTTTACTTTGAATATTTTATCATCAGAATTGAACGGACAAGTTGCTACAGAAAGATTAAACATACAACAGCTCTACGTGTTAAGTGAATTCGTGTGGTTTGATTTGAAAACATAATTTTGTCTTGCAGACTGCAAAGACCTCCAAACTAAGATTGAAAAAAGATTTTTCTTTTGTGCGTAATAAAATGTGTTTCTTTTTGCGCACGACTTCAGCCCTGCAGAATACATGTTCAGAATTGCTGCAGAGATTTAGTGGAGGCACATGCAGAGTCAGGATGAGCTGATCCCGTGCGCGTTCAGGAGGAAACTACCTCGCAGGCAAAATAAAGAAAGGGATATGAGTCCTTTTATTCCAAGTTTACAACTCAGGCATGTAATAGAGGTGATGGAAAGGCTGCTTCATTCAAAAATCAACGCCAACATAATTTCTTATGAGTATGTTATTATGAAGAACTTAGTAAAATGTGTAATTGTGCCACAACGCTCGTGCTTCATATTGTTCAGACACTATGGGCAACACAGACATGTCTCTGTTTTGTAAGAGGAAGAAAACAAAACACAGCGGAGGCAGATCACTGCATCTGTCATCACGTCTCCTCTCCAGGGGATACGCCTGCTGATTGCGTAATGCACAGGCTAGAGAGTGTGTGTGTGTGTGTGCGTGTGCGTGTGTGTGCGTGCGTGTGTGTGTGTGTGTAGTCATCGTCTTATCTTTGTACGCACCAAAATTATGACCGCACGGTGGCGCTACTCTCCTGTCATGTCAGAAACAAGGAAATCCCTTTTCATAAGAAAAGACTATCTATGGTTAGTCATTGAGTGAAACCCTGCTGTAAGTTTTGTTCACACAGTTTATGGCATCATGGTCTCCAAAATCGTTTAAGCCAAACACTTTCACAATATTACTGATACAATAGAAGAAGAAGAATGGCATATTAAAATCTTTTAAGACTTAGGAGTGAAGCAGATATTAAGTCAGCGTGTTCCTGTGAGAGAAGTAGAGTTAAATTCAAAGTTGTAATATAATAAATGGTTTTACCAAAATGTAAAGGTGGGTGACAGCAATGTGGAATTTAAAAATCTCTTATTTTACGCACGGTTTGGGAGCTTATTCTTACGGAAGTTTACATATTCATGTGGTAAACACAGTATCACAAACAGCTCAATTTTGCAGAGACTTGACGGCATCCACTCTAGGTCCCTAATTTATGTGTAATATTCAGCTTCTTTTTTAAATTAGATTTTCTTTACTCGCCTAATCTCCATATTTCTTAAACAAGTTCTGACAGCTGCACTGAGCTATTAACTCATTTCAAAACCAATTCCTTGCGTTCCTACAAAAACAGTCAGCTTACCGAGGTCAAACACAAAACTGCTTCGTCGGAATCATTGAACCTTGTCCTCAGTTAGAGCGCAGATCCCAGGGTGAAGCTGGGCGGTGCGAAGGAGGGACCAGGCAGAGAAAAGAGCCTATTAAGTGCACACTGGAGGTGCTGCTGCCGAGAATATTGTAATAGACTTGACAGGTCCTGATGTGGGCTGTTCATTAGCAGACCAACAACTTTGGCCACCACAATTAAATTAGAATTAAAGAAAACAGCGAACAGATGAAACCAGTAAGGACGCGTGCTTTCCAGAAGCTATTCTCTTGATGCTTCCAAATAAAACGCACAGGAGCGCGAGGGACTATCCGTGCTCGTTTCCATCATGACATTAAGTTTTTCGTCCTTCTCCATCAAAGCCATCCTCAGCGGACGTAACTCTCGGGGAAAGCCCGGCACCGGGAGCGCAGAGGAGCAGTGCGCAGCAAAGCGCAACGTCTGCAGCGAGCAAAACGGCACCAGAGTCTCCGATCTGTGTCACCGAGACGCGGAGGAGAGCCGCATCCTGCCGGGAAGACTTCCTCCTGATCTCAGGCTGTCTTTTGGAAACCTCCGAGCTGAGACCTACAGCGAGGAGGCCACGGAGGAGGAAAATGAGCTCACAGAAGGTGAGGGCTTTTATTCTGTTTGTCAGAATAGGACCGTAAAAATAAATTCTGGTTTTAATTCACATCAAACTGAAATGAGGAGATATTTTCAGAGGTTTTTACAGGGAGGGGCTATATGTATTTTGACTCTGTATAAATAAAGATATAAAGGGACATATTTTGATCAGACACTAAAAGTTGTTAAAGTTTTAACAGTCCGTTTTTGCTGTTTGACAGAGGTGGTCAGGACTGTGGAGGAAGAAATCATAAGCAAAAGGTTGTGTTAGGGAACCTGAGGATTCAGCTTATAAAATGTTTGCCTGAGCTTATTTAAGTCTTTTTTTTTTTTTTACATTATCCTCGGATGTTCTGACAGAGTGAACGTAATTAACGAGGACAACCTTAAGTGACTTTCAGCAGCGGATGACTTTGGCTGAGCGAAAACACGTTTTTCTCATCTTTTCTAGGCTTTGCGCAGCAGCAACCCTGCTCTGTGGACCTGGGCAAGCGGCAGAATAAAGAGGCGGAGGCAGAAGAGGATGGATGTCACCACAGCGAAGTGATGGTCAGCTGTTCATCCGAGGAGCAACAGTGCCGGTCCGGCACAAAGAAGCGCTCCAGGGCGGCCTTCTCTCACGCACAGGTTTACGAGCTGGAGCGACGCTTCAACGCGCAGCGGTATCTCTCCGGTCCCGAGCGGGCAGATCTGGCCGTGGCTCTGAAACTTACTGAGACCCAGGTGAAGATCTGGTTCCAGAACCGGAGATATAAAACCAAACGGCGCCAGGTGGCTGCCGAGCTGGCGGCGTGCAGCTCACCAAAGAAAGTGGCTGTCAAAGTGCTGGTGAGGGACAATCAGTACCACCACCATGTAAATGGAGTACACATCCCAGTGACTGTGCCACTGTACCAGGCCCAGCAGTACTACCCCTACCTGCAGTACTACTGTCAGCCCTGGAGCATGAACAGCATGTCCTGTAGAGGGATGATGCTCTGAAGCTTCCTCTTTACTTTGGACTTCAACATGCATCACTTCAAATAATAGACTTCTGACTTTTTAGAAGCTGTTGGCAGCTTTTCTCCAGTTAATGCAGGGTGCAACACTGGGGAGGCTTTTGTTCAAATAATCTTTCTTTAAACTGGTTTTTTTGCCAAAGATATAACTGATTTACAGTCATTGTTAATGTTTGTCTTATAACTCTATGTCACTTTGTTCCCTTTCAAAGCAAAATGTCAATTAGATTAGGTCTGTGTGAAGAAATCGCCAAAATTCAAGACCAAGATTTAAGTTGTTTTTTTTCCTGTCCGTTCTGGTGGGGGTGTCAGAAAGGCAAAGGCTGAGTGAGGCTTCATATGTGTTCCTTTCACTGTGTAGGGCAGCCTGACGTTGCTGGGAGAACAGTTTTGATCACTTCAGAATTATGTAAGCATTCCAATGAATATGCTTTAAATTGGAAAAAAAAATTATATATATATAAATATAATATTTAACATCAATGAGAGAAGAGAATAAAGTTTAAAAGTGGGATTCAGTGGGAAATCTAAATATCGTACTTGAAAAAATACATGCTTTGAATTCAGCAACAAAATTCATATGAATAGGTAAATGTATACATATAATACAGTTGAAATATTATTTCAATTATTTAGAAAGTATATCATTACATAAACTGAATCAGGTCACATTTAATTCAGCATTAAAGTCATTTCCCTCTCCTCCGTCACTGTCAGTCCATTTTAAAAGACCAGACGGAGCGGAAAGGAATCCTGAACTTATACAAACCCAACAGGAGAAAGCAGCTTCTCTCAAAGTGTGAGAAATATGACCTAGACACTGACATTTTTAGTAGGTATTTATGTTAATTATAGGATGTCTTTATTGATCATGAGACAACGCAACACCTGCAAGAACACTCTTTACAGGAAGTTTATGGACATTTTGGAGAGAATGTCTGTGTGTGCATTGGTAACTCACTGTATGCTCTTTAAAAAAGTGTGTGTATGCAAAGGGACATGCCGCAACAACAGTTGCATGCAAAGACATACATACATCAGCAAACCGATTTGGCTTTTACTCATTTTCTTATAAAACAAACTGACATTTGTTGTTATTTCTTAAAAAAGGAGTGTTTTATGTGTGTATGAGTCCTGCATAGGCCTGTGTGCTGCATGACTCAGAGGATCAACAGACCGTGGAGATGTTGCACCAGGGACCAGGGCTGCAAAAGACAGCACACATTAATCATGCCTTACTGACAACACTGCACCCTCATCCCAAAGTGATAGATTCAATAGCCACACTTGAAATAAAAACATTAATTGTTACAAAGTGGAGATTAGTTCTTTGGAAGAGTTCTTAACTGATTCCAAGTACAAGCCATGTTGGATTTAAATGCCAGAGTCATGATGCAGCATTACTGGAGCCTGCAAATGTAGAGTCGATAAACAGATAAAAGATGTTCTGAATGTGGGCAAGAATCAGAAGATAAAATACCTATTGTAAACCGGTGACATGAGTTCAGTGATATCACTGTATGTCATCTTGTAGAAGATGTTTGCAAGTATTTGTCGACAGCCAGGCAGGTATGTCTTTGGAAGTCTAGAAAATATGAATACAAAATGAAATCAATGAAGAGGCTGTGACATCGGACAAATTGGATATAAAAGAGGTACTTCAACGTCCCGTTTACCACAACAAGCTACTTTGGGCGACAGGACAGGATCGCCCTGCACCAAACGCTGGCACCAACCCAAACCTCATTTATCTCTCACATCAAAACACCACTTCAAGCTCTTCTAAGTGGTTGGCATTGTGCTCAACAGGTTTCTGGGCAGGAGAAATAACACATCTCTCTTTTTGACTTGTAAGTCAGCGAGTCATAATTAGGTAACTAATTATTTTTCATTTACACAGAGTGTATTTGTCATTCAGCTAAGATTCTGCAACACAAAGGTCAGGGCTGTGGCTCTGAAGTAGGCCACTTTCTATGAGCTCTGATTGTTCACATTGTGCTGGTGAATGGTGGCTCTTCTCATCGCTGTCTATCATTAGTGTCTTCTTTTCCTAAAGCCTGCATGTCTGTGGTGCCACACACACAATTTAAAAGAAAAAAATGTAAAGGAAAGGTGACTGAGATAAAACCCATGATGATCATGATGCCAGGTCTTATTTTTTTAGTTTCAGTTTTTTATTTTGATCTGTTTCGATAATATTATATATTAACATAATTGCAGTTGTAACAGTGCAACAAGAAAGTCTACACAATCACAGAAATTAGAAAACATGCCAACAGCTTAGATAAACTTTAAAATCTAGAATATAGAAAACAGACTATTGAACAATGTAGACAATAAAAAATATGTAGAATGGAAAAATATAGAAAAATATACAAATCTAGAATATAGAAAAACATACAACTCATACAGACAAAAATATAGAACATAGAAAACACTGATTATAAAAAAAAAACATGCTATCGTGAATAAGTGAACATGGCAAATCACCAGCCCAACATCAGCACGGTAGCATGCTTATATAATAGCTCCATGGAGCCACTAAAATGGCCGTAGACTCTTGGGTTGTGTCCGAAAAACCCTTGTTTCCATTTCAGTGATGGGTGATTGAATCAGGCAGTGATTCAGACAACTCCTTTGTCTTGCTGCTATAAGTTCAGTAACAGTGGAACTAGGTTGGTTATTGTCTTGCTCCGTATAACAAAATCTCAGCAAGGGAAACCTTAATTCTCTATCCATTGCTCCGCCATCACTAAATCACTTTGAGGTCACAGCCAGTGCCACAACTGCCTTCTTGGCAAGGAATGTGCTCCAGCCAGTAGGCCTCGGAGCCATCGAGCATTACTGTATGTATAAATAGTAAAGTTCAAGTATGTAAACATTTTGAGTTGGGCTGTATTTATGTGCCTTGCCATGAATGGGCTCATAAAGCAGAGAGAGAGAATAAAAGGAGGCAGACAGTCGTGCAGAAGAACATGTTTGTCTGCCTCTTTGAACAATTACCAGCAACAGCTTCCATGACATTAAAAGGTAGATTTAAATGGGACTTATTAACCCCAGTGGAAACAGGTAATTGTCTTTTGTATTTTATGTAGCTGCAGATTTCTCAGCTGGGAGGTATGTGTCGAGGGTGGGGCCCGGCTACTTTTGAGCAACACAGGAATGACAGTCCTCACCTAACCCACGCTTGGCTGCACTTTTTAAGATACGGATCTATTGACTGAGCGTTCTCTTAGGGCTCCTGGGCTGCAATTACACAATGCATTTCCGATGCGCCTATTGTAACAGGAATCTTTTTCTCAAGGGCCTTGTTGATTTGAACAATATCGTATTCATTTAACGGCTGCTGGCACGGAGACCTCTGGGTGAAGCAAGGTTGGGTGAGGCTTCCCTCTACAAAGTTGCAGACACTGAAAATTGTTGATTGCTCTAGTAGAAACAAATATAACCAGCGTTAAATGTTTTTGCTTTGGGGGAAAGGGGTGTGTGTTTTGGCTGCCATTAATGCGTTGGCCCCCAGCAGACACAGGGCAGGACTCAGGAAGAGAGAGGTCATGGTTAATACCTCTGTTTAAAGACAGATCTGCTCCCTTTGACCTGGTCTCACTCACACACACACACACACACACACAC